CTTTGGAAGCAGCTAAGGAGGCAATTTGGATTCGTAAGTTCATTAGTGAACTTGATGTTGTACCCTCCATCAAGGGTCCAATAGACCTCTATTGTGAAAATAATGGAGCTATTGCTTAGGCCAGGGAGCCAAGGGAACACTAGAAGGTCAAACATGTCAAGCAAAGATTTCACATGATAAGGGAATGGAAATCCGAGGGTGAAATCAAAATTTGTAAGATTGGAACGGACGACAATGTAGCCGATCCTCTGACTAAACCTTTGTCTCAAGTGAAGAACAACAAGCACATTGAGGCAATGGGAATCAAGCACATTGAAGATTGGCTTTGATTTCCCTATATACATGGTTTAATTAAACTCGATGTCTTAATGTAAAACACTATGTTGAACCATTCAATTTTGGAGAAATTGAATTTTCTGCAAATTTATGATTACTCCATATCTATTTAATTATGGTTTAGAATTAAATAATGAGTCCATTCGAATTTTGAGAATATTCAAAACTGGGTATCCAGACCATGTCTTGGATAAAGAAACACCTGCTAAGTGAACATTGAATATTCTAATCGAAAATTATCCCTAATCGAGGTCATTTAAACGATGGACGATTAATGACCACTTGAGATTAGTGTGTAGTATGATTTATAGCACCGTTTCTTGTGCTACAAGGACATGATAGTCATAAATCATTTGCACAGGTACTAGTTTGGAACTATACCGAATAGACCTATGAGAATACTTTAAGAGATATCAAATCGTCATAATTATGTTTCTCATTATAGCTATCGGAACCTTTTTCCTTGACCATGAGTATTGCAAGTTCTCTTGTTTGAGTACTAGCCATTTTGATGTTGTCAAACGTCTTCCGTAAATGGGGATTATAACGACAACACTCAGGCGACTAGGTCCTCTTAGTAAGGGAAGCTTACAGTACAAGACTGGGAATGTCCCCCTATTAACAATAGGGAACGTGTCTTTGTTGTTTACAAGGCCTCTCGAAGAGCGAGACTGTGAAAATGCATGGCCGTGCTCAAATGGATTTTAGAAATCATCTGTTTATTGACAGTCAAAACTCGGGAATCAAGAAACACTTCTGGACTTAATAAGGATGACGAAGAATCTTACCTTATAGTTCATGAAGAGACATTAAGAGACATGGGAAAAGGGTTATACAAAAATTGCACACTTGTCCGGAAGGACAAGTGGGAGATTGAAAGGAATGGTGTCCTTCCAACAAGTGTATTATTCCGATAGAGGGTTCAAAATTATTAGAAAGCTAATTCTTCAGTAAGGTCAAGTGATCGGAATGCCTAGGTGGAGGCCGCTTCCGATTAGTAATATTGATGTACAATTAATATTACAACTTAATCTTGACTGAACCCTACGGGTCGAACCCAATCGAACAACCGATCCAAGACGATGAATCAATCCGAAGGATTAGATGAGTCGTCAGATTTTTACGAACAAAAGACGTCGGATATCGAGCTTAGAGCGATGAGACCGAGCGGCGCAAGTCGAATCGAATTTAGAATTCAACGAGACGTGAAATCAATCAAGTTGCAAGTTCGAGTTAGGCCGTAGCCTCGCATTGGCCTAGCCATGCGAGGGCTAGGCTATCTCGAGGTAGCATGTGCATCGCAACGCTAGCCGCAAGCCTAGCATGCTAGGCGTGCTAAGCCTATGCATTCTAGCTAGCCACCGCAAGCATCGCAGCCTTACGTGTGTGCTAGCATGCCATGCGCCCAGCCATCGCAAGGCTAGGCTTTGCTAGCATGCTAGGCGCTGGCGCACGGCTAGCCCAGCAGCCATCGCAAGGCTTGGCCTTGCTAGCATGCTAGGCGCTGGCGCACAGCTAGCCCTGCAAGTATTGCAAGGCTAGGCGTTGCTAGCATGCTAGGCGCTGGCAGCAGCAACATAGCATAACACCACGCACCAGCCAGCAGCGGTCCAGGCATGTTGGGCTGTGCGTGTGCTTCGCATAGCAGCGCCCAGCATTGACGCACCAAGCAGCACGCTTTGCTTTGCCTAGCAGCAGCGCATAGCATGCGTGGCTCGCTAGCAACACGCATGCACTAGCTGGCTGCGTATGCTTACGGGTGGCTGTGCGTATGTTCTGGTTGGCTGGCCAGGCTGCCCAGTCTTGTTGCTAGGCGCCACCTGGTAGCCTTAGCAGCCAAGGCAGGTTGCCAGCCAACCACTTGGAGGGGAGGGCTGGTTTTGCTTGTGGGGACCAAGGGTTGGAGCTTTGCCTTGGGGAGAAAGGCTATGCCCCCCCCCATGTAAATGGTCTTCACCAAATCTCTCATCCTCCTTGTGCCACTTGTAACTTATTGATTGAATTGCAATTTTATTTTTGTTTTGATTAAAATAAAATGGGAAAATTGCAAATCTCCCACATTGATTGTGAATGGGAAATCAAGGTTCATTTCCCTATAAATACAAAGGTTTTGGGATTTGGGGAGAACACTTGAGTGGAACTAAAAAGGAATCTCCTTAGAAAAGTGAGAAAACCTTAAGTTCGTAAAACTCTAGTTTTTATTGGTCGGGTCCCGACTAACGTTTAAGACGTGGACCGTTCGGGTCGGTTTCGTGGGTACGTGCCGTCGGAGACCTTCGCATTTGCGAGGTTCAAGTTTTGAAGTAAGAGCTCGAGTTCGAGCAAAGCACGCGCCAAGGGTATGAATGTCTTTTCCTTCTCTCTCTTAATTGTTATTTAATTTGTGATTGCATGCTTGGTCGCTTTAATTAGTGTGCGGGTTTTGGGTGGGTTTCTTCTTTCGCGTAGAGTCGGACTCTACGAAACCCAACATCTTATTGGCTACTTCCACTGCACCATTTGCTTAAGGTTTATATGGAGAGGAGTGGTGATGTTGAATACCATACTTTTTAAGTAGGTCTTCACATTCTACTTGAAAGTGAGTACCATTGTCACTTATCATTTCATGTATGTGGGACTCTATATCTACATATGATGTTCCTTTCAATAAAGAGTGCCACATGTTTTGCGGTGAGTTTTGCATAGGATGTTGTTTCAACCCATTTGGTGAAGTAATCAATGGCAACAAGAATGTATTCATGGCCGCCTGTTCCGAACGGAGTAATCTTTCCAATAATATCTATTCCCCAAGTTGAGAATGGCCATGGAGATGTGTAAGTGTAAAGAAGAGATGGTGGAACTTGTTGCAAATTGGCATATATTTGGCATTTTGCGCATCTTTTTACATATTGATGGCAATCTCTTGGCATGGTAGTCTAGTAATAGCCTTGGCGCATGATTTTCTATACTAGCATTTTGCCATTCATATGTGTCCCACATGCTCCTTTGTGAATGATTTTCATTGCCTTTTGAGCTTCCTTCTTGCCTACGCATAGGAGGGATCTTCCTTAAGGTACTCTTTTATGAAGTTCATCATTTATGAGTACGAATTGTGAGGCTAAGAGTCTTAAGGCGCGTTTTGCTCTTTTGTCAGCATTAGGTCGATATTCCCCTTTGGCGACATAATTCAGGATGTCTGATATGCCTATTTTATATAGTGATTTACCCCCGTCCCTTGGTCATATTTTGGTGTATTTTTGGCTCTCAAAGCTACTTTTATTACTAATATGCGTTTCTAGTGTTTTCGTAGCCTTGGTATTATTTTATAGGAAATTGAAGATTTGGAGCATTTTACCGGGCTTATTTGAGCCACTACGAGCATTGGAGTAGGATTGCATTCATATGACCACATTTCGAAGCCCAAGACCGTGTTGGAGCAATCAAACCGGTGATTATGGGATCAGTGAAGAAGAAGAGACCAAGGCATTGGATCGAGATATAAGGACTCAAAGAGGAAATCTGGATTGGGCGAAGAAATTAGCCCAATCGAAGATTCCATTAATGCCCGGATACTCGCCCGACCGAGAGTACCCTCGCCCTGAGGCGCGCCCGGCCTAGCGAGGCAGATAGAGAAGAAGCACTCCTCGCCCTAAGGCACGCCCGACCGGGCGCAAGAGATAGTCCACCGGCCGAAGGCGGGCCCGGCCGGGCAAGATGGTGCCCGACCGGGCGCGTGTTCCTGAGCATTGTTTAGCGATTTTTAATCTTTGTTTTAGCTTAGGAATTTTAGCTTTAGTATAAATGCACTTTGTTAAGTGAGATTTGCGGACGTCTTTTCATTAGTAAAATTCCAGGTTTTTAGTTTTAAGCTTTAGATTAATACTCTTGTTCTCTCAACTCTTTTTGGTTTATGCAATTCATTATTTCCGTTTATTTTGGTAACGATTTCTTCCCCTTTATTTTCAGTAATTTAATTGTTTTGATTAATCATGTCTTGTTTTATGGCTTTGTTTGGTTTAGATTTTAATATGTGTGAGTAGTTTTATTTCTAGGGTTTGTGGGGATCCATAAATAATATGAAGGGGTTATTTATTATTGTTGACTGTTAGTGCTCGATTGATTTCCTATTGATTGATTTAATGCTATATGCAATTAGATTTGGCCAGGTTTAATTGTATAAGTTATGCAATATTGATTCGAGATTCGACAGATGAGAATTGATGTTTAGGCTTAGTTTCAATAGGCAGGTTAATTTATAAATGGTTAAATCAAGATTCGAGAGATGCGATTTAATACCGTTGGTTTATTCTATGATTGTAATACGTAGCGAAAGCCCTTTATGATCATATTAATTGATGCATTGATAATTGATTGTTATGCTTTACCCTGGAATATTGTTTATTGGTGAACCTATACCCTAGGCTTTGCTTTATTGATATTCTCGTTATTCTTAATCACGTTAGTTATTATTCTTCCTTAGTTTAATCTTCATAAAAATAAATTGGTTAGTTGATAATTTAGATTATATTAATTATTTAGGAATAAAAAGACATTGTTTCCCTGTGGATTTGACCCTACTTCCCTATCTGCTTTAGTTAGAGGACTTAGTTAATTCTTTTGATCAGGTGATACGACTTTATCCTGTCAGTGTCTGAATACCATGGTTCTTCCTCCTCTTCTTGGGTTTATTCTTCATCCCCAATAGCTTGAATATAAGCAGGCTTATGCCTTTTCTCTATTGTCAAAGACATTTGCTCAATTTCCTTAGGAATTCTAACCATTGAGGCTAGTCTTTCCAAGGTATCAGCAAATTGGTTTTCTTCTCTTGGTAGGTTTGTGTACTCTACTTTTTCAAGTTGATCAGTAAGGGTTTCCAAATAGGTTTGATATGGATCTAGGCTTTCACTCCTCACCATCCATCTTTTGGAAATCTGGTTGATGATAATAGATGAATCTCCGAATATTCGAAGTTTCTTGACTCCCAATGCCAAGGCTATTTCGAGGCCTACCACACATGCTTCATACTCTGCAGCATTGTTGGTGACGTCGAAGTCATGCTTTATAGAGATTAGGACATGCTCTTCTTTAGGCGATACTAGTAAGACTCCTACGCCACATCCTTTATGGTTGGATGTACCATCAAAGTATAATGTCCACGTATCATCCACAGTGACCGTTAACTCCTCATCTGGAAAGTCATTTTCTTGTATCGGTGTAGATTCTTCAATTGGGAAGTCTACCAAGAAATCAGAGACTCGGATTCCTTGATAGACTTTTGGGGCATGAACCTTAGGTCGAATTGAGCTAAGTTGACTATCCATCTTGATATTCGTCCATTAAGTGTGGATTTCTCAAAGAGATACTTGAGAGGTTCCATTCGAGATACCATATGACCTGTATGGACTAGCATGTAATGTATGAACTTAGTTGTGGCCCACACAAGTGCGAGGTGTTTGGGGGGTTTTTTATGTGTCCTACGGGAGAGTTATAATTTCCTAGTATGCTCCTTCCTTCGCCTGTACCTGCACAAATAACAGAGACTCCGGCTGGGGGTTAGGAGTTCCGCCTCCGAGGATTAAGTTAGAATCTTTCTTAAAAAAGGTATAAAGAGAAATAAATGCTTCTCGATTGGAGAGCGTTTTGCAATGGGTTTTGTGTTTTGTTGGTTGTTGGAAATATTGTCGATTTCCATAAATGAGGTATGCCCCTACTATTTATAGTAGGGGAGAGCTGTACCTCAATTAGGGTACAATGACACGTGTCGCAAAGGGATTGGGCCCTTGCTTACCGTTGCAAGCTTGACACGTGGCAAGCCTTTATAGGGCCACGTGTCTTAGGGGTATTTTTACCCTAATCATCTGCCCCTCACAGGTGTGACGTGGCATGTCCACGTGTCGCCTGTGACAAGTGTCAAACGCATGGGAGGAGACGATTCGTCTTCTTCCCTCCCTTTTTCAAATTTCAAGTTTTTAGGGCCCTTCTGCCCCTCTCCTATAAATAAGAGGCATTCTCTCTCTCCTCCATACTTTACATATTTTTCAAAAAAATTCTGAGAGAGAGCTCTGATACCGGCTGCTACTTTCAAGATTTTCTTGCATCCGGCTTTCTAGAAACTTGACATCCGACTTCCGATTGAGCGTACTTTCCTCAATTTCAGCAAGGTACCGGCTGTCCCTTCTCTTTACTTTTAACTTCTGATTTTAAGGATCTTGAATGATTTCCCATCCGGGTAGCATGCTGCCTGAGGGGTCTTTAACCCATTTCCCAGTACTGAATTCACTCCCTCAATCGGCATAGCTCCGTCTAAGGGGTCTTCAACCTTTAAATACCATGCATTCTAAACACCTCCATCCGGTATAACACCGCCTAGGGCCCTGTTCATTTGCTGTTTCTGAAAGCCGACTCAACCGGTAAAATACCGGTTGGGATACCATTCAATCAAAATATATATATCCGGTTTGAAAGCCGCCTGGGGGGTCTCTGACCCATTCCCAAATAGACTTCTTATCCTTTAAATAACCAGGCATTCAAAGCACCCCCATCCGGTGAAATACTGCTTGGGTCACCATCCTTTGCTTTTCATGGCCTTTTAGTAGCTGAACTACCTTAGCCGGAGCACCCACCTTAGTAGTTTTTCAAAGCTTTTTCTAATTGTAACCAATGTACCCCATCCGGATATTCACCGTCTGGGACCTGTTTGAGCAGGCTTTTTTCTTCTTTTTTTTTTGAAATAGGTTCCACTATACTCTCATCCGATGTTTAACCGTCTGGGGTATCATTGAGTGACCTTAATAGTCTTTGCAGCACCTACAACCGGCATCTATATCGGCTATGGTTTTTTATCTAGCCATTTTTTACACAACCGTAGGCGGTATATGCCGTCTTTGGTGCTTTTGAATGAGTTCATGACAGACCGGCTTACTTGTGCTCTTGTCTTTCAGCTTTAAACACATTCGTGGAGTTGTCCGCTTGAGGTGACTTCAAGCCATTTTCAGCTGACGAGGAGTCCGGCTCTGATGAAAAGTCTCCTGAAGCGGCTGCCCCTATTGATGAGGAAGCCTATAAGTGGCCGGCTGCAGGGGACCCTACCGACATGACTCTGTCCGCCAGGGATGTGGTTACTTTAAACGCAACGCTCCCTGCTTTTTTGAAAAAGAAGCCGGTAGGGAAGGACTAGGAAGTGGTTGTACCGCCTGTAGCGGCAAGCGTCGTTTGGACCAACGATTTAGACAATGCCGACAACTACTTCGGCTGCTACGAGGCGGCATTCACAGCCGGCCTCCGGTTCCCCCTTCATCATTGCATTAAGGCCATACTAAGGGGGTATGACTTGGGTGTATGGCAGTTGACCCCTAACTCATGGGTCAACATATTGAGATATATTGACGCCTGCGAGTTGCAGGAGGTTAAGCCTAGATGAGAGGCATTCGCACATATGCATTATCTCAGCCGGGCGCCGGGTGGTTGGAATGCATGGTATACTTTAACAACCCACCCGGAGTATATGATGACTTTGGACAAGCCGTCCAAATGGAGCAATTGGAAGAGCAAATTTTATGTTGTTTCTTCCCCAACTCCACAACTTAACCGCCGGCTGCGCAGATATAATAAGCATCCGGCTTTGCTCGGTAGAAAATGCGCTCTCCCAAAAGTACCGGCTGCGGCATGGGATTAAATAATGGAGAGAGGTCTCTTTCTTAAGACGACCTCCCGGATGGATGATGGGAGCGAAATTATTGTTCCCAAATTCTGGGTTCCCCATCCGGAATGGTTTAAGGATGAGGCTTTCCTGTCTCTCTGTAATCTTAGTACAATGTTTACTAAGGGTAGGTTGCTGAGTCACCCGGTATTTGACGCCTGTGTATGCCTATCAGAACGCTAACCTTGTCCTTTTGTCTTTTTGCAGAAGTTGCTAAAGAAATGGTGCCTCTAGATAAGACACCCGCTACTTCTGCTCTTCTTCTAAGGAAGAAGCAGATTGAAGAGAAGAAGGCGGCGCTGGCCGCCAAAAATGCTGGGGTATCCTTCCTTTGCTTTTTTTTTTTTTTTTTTTTTTTTGCCGGATGTGATATACTTGAAGTAGATGATATCTCACCGGTTGTAATGTGTTTGACTGATTTCAGGCTGGGAGCCAAGTCATGCCTCGCTCTTTAGCGAGCATGCACAAAAGACCGGCTGGAAACATACCTCAGTCGGCTTCTAAAACACCAAGGGTGGCTGCTCCCGCCCCGCCTGCTTCTGCTTCGAAGAAAACTCTTGACACTGACACGCCTACTACTGCGGGAAAGAGCCTGCAATCCATTCCCCAATTCGAAATGGTAGTGGAGGAATTAAGGCCGGCTTCTCGTACTCAGACAGGTACAGACTCAAATGCGGCTGGGGGGGCTTTGACCCCACAGTCCGAAAAAGGGAAAACCTCTGCCTTTGATCCCCACTGGCCGCTTGGGCATATGAGAGTCAAAACCCAAGCAAGCCAATCCGGGGATTCTTCTAGATGCTGCCAGAATATAGGCGGAGCGTATGCCCAGCATCTTATAGATAACTCTATAATTGCAGATGCAACCTCCAGCTGGCCCAATTACAATCAATATGCTCAGAGAAGGATCAAGACTCTGACCCGCTCTGAGAAGGCGGCGGTGCCGGCTATGCACCAAGTGAACCTCGACCGCATCAACTCCCTTCTAGCTGAGGTAATGACCGGATGACCTATGCTTGTGCAATGCTCCATATTTATCGGAAGAGTAATAATCTTTTAATTTCTAACACTTTTTCCAGCTAATGTGACAGGGGATGCTGAGAGTTGATAGGCTGCGAGTCCCTTTGCGCCAAAAGCAAGAGGAGGTAAGGGACGCTCAGAATTGCACATCTTAGCTGATCGAAGTTTCCCAATTCAATGCTATTAAATATGACATGGAAACTAAACGGAGGGAGTTGGAACAGGAGGAATTGCTGAAGGGAGCTGTCACGGCTGGGGATCGGCTAAAAAGAGAGCAGATGAGCTTGAACAAAAGGTCAACAACCTTAAGCCTGATCTCAAGGCTCTGGAAGGAGCCGACAAAGAGAATGCTGACCTCCGCCGGGAGAACAGCCGGCTGAAGGATGAGATTGCTTCAAATCAGGCGGCTCATAAAGAAGAGCTGGAGAAGGAACAAGTCCGCCTGATTGAAGAGAACGAGGCCGACTGCGAGGAGCGCATGAAGCTGGCTTGGAGTCTCATTCATCAGGACTATGAGTTCGAATACTTCAACCTCCGATACCTGTATAACTCTGAAGTTTATGAGGCTAAGGTACTTGGTTCTAACCCTCCTCCCCCTTTTAAGGAGTGGGTCGAACGGAATACGGAGAGTTAACCAGATGAGGTAAATCAGGAGACCCAGACTGAAATCCAGCCTGAAACAATTGTGGCGTAGTCGACTGAAGTTCCAACTGAGCAAACTCAGCAGTCGGAGCAACAGCAACCTCAGCAGCAACAACAACAACCATAAACAATCTTCTTTTTTAACCGGCCTGCGAGCCGTGTATGTTTCTGTAATTTTCCCGAACATGGGTCCGATTAACATTTCTTCTAATATATTTACCGACTCAGTCGGTTTTGCTATTTACTTGCAAATTTCAATTACATATCTACAATTGAAAAAAAAAATTTACAAGTACCTATCTACAATATACCGGCTGATACAATAAAATGCCCCTGAACGGATGACTGTTTACTCCAAAGGTAAACAAGGAGTCGTTTCAAAGACAGTCGGATGGGTAAAGATCTTTGATCTTCAACATACCGGCTGATACAATAAAATGCCCCTGAAACGGATGACTGTTTACCCCAACAGTAAACAAGCAGTCGTTTCAAAGACAGCCGGATGGGTAACGATCTTTGACCTTCAACATACCGGCTGATACAATAAAATGCCCCTGAAACGGATGACTGTTTACTCCAACGGTAAATAAGTAGCTGTTTTAAAGACAGCCGGATGGGTAACGATCTTTGACCTTAAACATACCGGCTGATACAATAAAATGCCCGTGAAACGGATGACTGTTTATTCCAACGGTAAACAAGCAGTTGTTTCAAAGTCAGCTGGATGGGTACTAAAAGTCGTCTTCATATATTTTGGATATAGACCGGTTGTTTTAAGCCCATGTATATATATTTCAAAATCTGTTGTTGTTTTTAACACAGCAGGAGTTTTCATACAAAGAGGAGTAACATTGTTCTTTTAAACAAGTGTTCATCCGGAATAACTAACCGCCTGTAGTGCTTTGTTGCTAAAGCCGGTTGGCGTTTTAACTAGGATTTGGATTTTTCCGGATGGACCACTTT